AAAAAAAAAAAATCATACAACTACAAATTTCAAAATTAATAAGTGTTACACATATATATATGAAAAATAAATCCAAAAATCAATAAATAGATAAAAAAAATGTCATACAACTATAAATTTCAAAATTAATAAGTTTTGCACATATATATATGAAAAATAAGTCCAAAAACTCAATAAATAAATAAAAAAAGAAGTGCCATACAGCTACAAATCTCAAAATTAATAAGTTTTACACATATATATATGAAAAATAAGTCCGAAAACTCAAACTACTATGCCAATGATGCATAAATTAAAATTGTTCATTGTTTATCCCTTAAATGAGAAGGATCTTCATTAAACCAAGCATCACGTTCACGAAATTCATTTTTACTATCATAACTATCATCATTTTCTTCACCAATTGACTTCAAGTCAATTCCTCCACTTCCACTACCAATATGGAATGATCCTTTTTCACCACCTTGCACTTCTTCTTTAATATTATGTGTGCCACTTTAAACGTTGAAAAGAAAAAACATATAATAAATAAAAATCAGCAAAATAAGTCATAATTTAAAGTTAACTCACATAATCAATAAGATAATTCATAGAATGACAAAATAACATAATAAATTTAAAATCAAAACACTATGAAGAGAAATTTTGATTATTCACTAACTTTTTTTTTTTTTTGAGTTGTATGACACATTGGTATTGTTTTATCATGATAAATTATAATTTCCAATTCATCATAATCGAGAATTGGAAAATAATCTTCTTCCATGACCCATTCCTCAACATTGTCTATGCTTTTATAATCAATAGGACCAAAGCAAGTCTTCCTTTTGTTATCAATCTTATTATTCAACATAAAAATAAAATTTGCATAACAAAAATATAAAATAATAAGAAATGAAACTTTATTAATACAGTACAATTATTATATAGATTAGATAAAGTACCTATATTTCAAACACAAATTATAATGCATATAGATAAGATCATTCAACTTTTGGTGCTTCAATCCATTCCTCTTATTGGTGTGTATTCTTTCAAATACACTCCAATTTCTTTCACACCTCGAAGAAGATAATTTTTAACTCAATAGTTGTATTGCTAATGTTTTAAGATTTGGAGCACTATATCCAATATATTTCCACCACTCATCTATGAAGAAGACAAAGGAAAAACATGCACAAGTGTTAAAAAGTTAAATATTATGAAGAATTAAATAAGTGTTATAATTTAAAAAAAAATTTTAAAATTGAAATCTTATCGGGTTTCATAATTTTTGAGAATTCAATAGCACTTTCACAACCAAAACTTTCTATTTTTTTGTCATACAACTCACACTCATTCAAAAATGTAGACCTCCAAGATGGCACTTTTGCATCCATAACATGTATAAAACCTTTCATAACTTCTTTTTTGTTGAAAAATTCTCTTTATCATAGAAAAAAACAGGATTCAAGTAATAGGCAGCAGCATGAAGCTTTTGACAAAGTTGCCTATTCCACCTTTTCTTTGATAATTCTTATGTAAAGCTTATACAAAGACTTCCTATTCATCAATATGGTCTTAATAGCCTTTCTAGCTCCATATATGCCATTATAGACATATCCAAGTAAAGGCCTCTCGTCACCATCCATAATTCTAAGCAAGCGAATAAATGGCCCCACAATTTTCACAACAAGCTCCCGATTATTCTAAAAGTTTTTATCTAGAACAACAACCATAACATCATTTGCCTTATGATCGTTGTAGTATTTAGACTCTTTAAATTCTAGACTAGTCACCAATGCTTGTAAGTCATGTCTATGCTCATGAATGCTTTTCAATGTAATGAATGTTGTTGCAAAATGTGTTGGCCCAAGATGTATATTTTCTGTCCATCCTTCCCTTTTTCGTAACCAAGCCAACAAGAAAGAATGATTGTATATAAATTTAGATACCAAAGATGAACGACTTGCAAGATTACTAACAACCTCCAACTTCCCAATATCACTCAAAATCAAGTTCAAACAATGTGTAGCACAAGGAGACCAAAAAAATGTAGGATAAATGTCATTTAACAATCTTCCAGCTTTTTTATAATTGGCTGCATTATTAGTCACTAAGTGCACCACATTATTAAAACCAACAAACTCAATCAATTCCCTAAACAAATTGCAAAGCATGGAAGCGTCTTTAACAACATTAGAGGCATCAACAATTTCACAAAAGTAATTCCTCGAGGACAATAGACAAGAAAATTAATTAATTGGTATTTTTCTGATCTTGCCAACCGTCACCCATAATACTACAAGTAGTTTCTACCTAAATATTCCTATAAGAATTAACTAACAATTGGACCTCTTGTTTTAAATCATGCAATAGATTGCTTCTCTTGACATGATAACTTGGGCTTTATAACTAGGACCAATTGCAACAATAACATCAAGCATAGGCTGAAAGTAAGGGTAGTTGATAGAATTTATGGGTAGACAACTATCAAAAAAGAACTTAGCAATCACCAAATCAGCATTATAGACAACATCTTTACTTGCCAAGGAATTTCTAATTGATGGTTGAGCTCCAACAGTAGTTCTTGGGGCAAAATAACTTTGCATCCCACTTGCCTTCCTTTTTCTATCCCTATTTGTGGAAATTTCTAACCCCTTCCCTTCAACTTGACATTATAGAGCTGAAGAGGGACTTGGAATCTCTTGCAAGTTCGGTGCATCTCTATCAAAATGTCCAAATGGATAATCTTCCCATATATTTTTTTCTTACTTCCTACTTTCTTCAATTTCCTTCAAACTTTATTACATCTGATAACAAACATCAAATGGCACCTTATCTCACTTTCTGACATTTTCTCCCTTTCTAACAACGTGTTGTTTTATTCTATTAATGCCTCCTCCTCTAAATATCTTTTGGTAATGCAAACATTTAATTGATTTTTTTGTGCTTTCTATAACTTCAACAGAATACTCCCATGCTGCATTTGTTTTAACTCTTAAAGATTAAGAAGATGCAGCAGTTGAAGTTTGTTCAAAGGATAACCATGTTGCAATTCTACAACAAATAAAAGAATTTAGATATTCAAAATTGACAATATTTTCAATTTTGATGATTTTGATCAATGACACAATTTGATAAAAATACTCAATGTTATGAATCAAACTGCACCAATAGCATCAATTAAATAGTTAAACAAACCTTCTAAATCTACAGATATCTTAAGTAATTCCTATGGGTACACTATAAACTCTAAAAAAAATTCACAACATGGGTCAATGGCTTAATTCTAAACAGAGAAATATGATATATTTAAGCAAAGTAAATCAACTAAAAAAATTTTCATCTCATAATTATAACATGTAGAGTACACTGTTTCACTTAAGCAATTAATCAACCATCCTGAAGATGTTAAAAAAGAAAAAAATTGAATTTTATTTCAGTGGAAAAAGAGATTGTAAGAGCATTGCCCAACTAGATAAGATGAGGATTTCTAAAAATTCTACAACAAAATGCTAAGAAATCTACTACACTATCTACTGCCCTGTGGTTTCTTCTTCATTGGAAAAATGATGGAGACTGGACTGGAGAGTGCAGAAGGAGAACCAATGGATGATGAACACTAGAGAATGGATTTTGTTTTATCGTGGAAAAGTGATAAAGATTTGAGAGTTGAAGAGTTGAAACTTAAGAGTCGAGTTAAGAATATGAGACCTTGATAGTGGAAAAAAAAAAAAAAAAAAAGGAAACTTGCAACATGAGATTCGCTTGACTGGTTTACTGAGTCTGCGGCAGGGGTGGGACAAGTCGAGTGAGTTTACTAGGTTTGGACAGTTGGACCATCAAAACGAGCCTAGGTATCCACCTGGCCTGTTTCAGCACCTGGGTGGCGGTCAAACCGATCAGACCGACTGATCAAGTTTGATTCTCAATACACTGAAAGAAAGCACTCATTAATGTCATGTGATAATGAGTGCAACCAAAACACTCTCTTTGATTTGTCAACACCACCTGTAAATCATTGATGGTTACATTAGTATAAACGAAGTCCTCAAGATTTTTACCCAAATTTTTTAGCATAAAAAGAGGTATAATGTTGACTATTGCTCCATTATTAACAAGGACTCGATTCATTTAAAGCCATCCATGTGAGCTAAAATGTAAAGTGGCCTTATATGATAAGCCACACTTTTATTTGGTTTTTCGAAAGTAATCTATTTTAAAAAGGAATCACACTTTTCCTTTTCTTCTTGGGTTGGAACCTTTATCACTTCTTGCTCAACAATCATGCTACCCTTGGAAGCATGGTTAGAGAGTATACTTGTTGCCTTTAAACATGAGTATCTTTGCTACCTTTTGCTTGAAAACCAAAGGAACCGTGAGAAACAAAACAAGAGAAATTCAAAAAAAGTTCTTGATCTTAACAACATCCATGTCCTCAAAAAAAGCATCATCATGGTCAACTCTTCTTGTTGATCTACTTCAAAAGTTGCCTTCAACTCTACTTCATTGACTCAATGAGGTGAGTTTAAGAGGTGGCACAATTGGTTGAAATTCATTTTGGACATTAGCCTTCTAATTCTCCTTTCTCCTCCACACCATCCTTCATTTGGCATGAGAGCATCGCGAAACATTAGTTTCCTTAGTAGCTAACTACTAGCGATGGCGTGCGTTTACTCACTTCCACAATACCCTTATTCTCAAAGTTCTAAGATTTTTCACAAGTTTTTTTTTTTAAACTTAAGATACATGACCCTCTTCCATCTCTTACTTAGAGGTCATTGTAGAAGCTTGACTATATGAGAGCAATTTGTATGCTGTAATATCCCCAAATTTTAGGGACTTAGTTGTGAGAGATTCTGATTAATGGACCTAATAGCAAAACTTTCTAAAGTCAAGGGCCTTAAAAGAAGATAATTTGGATAAGGATCGGTTGACCCCTTTTTCCTTTTTTCTTTTACTTTTCTTTCTTTCTTTTTTCCCCGCGCGTCCTGTTCTTCCTCTTCCCCCGACCCTCTGCAACCCGACGAGCCCCAGCCACCGCCCCCCCTTTTTCCGGCCGAAACACCGGTAAAAACTTGGAAAATTCTCCTCGTTTTCTTGTTCTAGAACACCTAGTAAGCCTAGAATTTTCCAGATCTAGTCTGCTCCTCCTCCCCTGTCCGCGAGCTGCAGCTTGTGATGAGCAATCTCCGGGTTTTTCCGGTAAGCAACAGCCATGAGTTCCTCTCTTCAGCTCTAAATTGGCTTGGGTTCACTCTAATTGCTTTTATTTCTGCCAATTTCGTGCTAGTTCCCTGCGGATTTCCGCCCCTGCCATACCCGCCGGATCTGGTTTTGCTTGCTAGAAATTCCGGTAAGATGATA